GGGAGGGAGTGACATGGGGGTGCAGTGGGGGGGTGGATGAGGGGCAGTGGTGAGGGTTTGTTGGGTCAGTGGGAAGGAGGTGCGATGGTGAGGGGTGACATGGGGAGGGAGTGACATGAGTGTGCAGTGGGGAGGGGTGACACAGGGTGCAGTGGAGATGAGGTGATGGGATTGTGTAGCTCCGGTCTGACCGAAGGATCACCGGAAAGGCATCTGTACACCTCTGGGATACAGGTATTCCTTGGGTGTGATGTGTATGCAGGGGTGCATCCTATCAACTTTTTGCAGGAAGCCAGTACAACAGAGCTCTTTGCCATCAGGCCAAGGAGCGTGTGTGACTGCTAGGGCCAGTGGCAGTTGCATATCTATTGGAAAAACTATTCACAGGGCCTTCAGAGCAGGTCACACAGAGGTACATGCCTCCAGGCAGCTGTCACTAGGCAGGGTGTATTGTGTGGTTGACAATCAGAGGTTGTTGGGAGACAGAATTTTCAAAAGAACACAGGAAGGGAGAATTTTCAGATGTAACATCAAAGGCCTGCCCAGTTTGCTGGTCTGTGGGGGCTGAGACCTCCTGGCTTCCTTCAGCTGGGAAGTCAAGCTGCCTGGGTGAGGCGCTTGAACTTGTGAAAGGCGGGTCTCTGCCACCCTGGCTGAAGGATGGGAAAGGCTTTGAGTGAGCAGTGCTGTATTGGATAAGAGGCAAGCATTTTGTCAGTTGGGTTTGAGCTCTAGAATGCATGCAGTGGCATTGATCTTGTCTGTAACCCTTTCTGGTCATTCATCTTACTTGCTTTCATAGGAACCTGTTGTTTGTAAGGGAATCTTATTCCCATTTTCACTGTAAATAAATTGAAATCTGTGTGGGGGGGGAGGAGAGGTATGTATGGCTGGTGGGTCCAAGGTGTAACTAATCAGCTGTCCCTTTGTGAGCAGGGTATCGGGGAGTTTAATGAGTGTCCAGCAGATCAGGGATTGGGGAAGGGCTGCTAGTTGAGCAAGGAGGAAAATCCCAGGACTGCTGATGCCGGCCAGGGTGCCCACATCTGGTGGCATGATTTTCCTTGCATGCTCCATGCTCATGAAGGCAGAGTGACCCCCTAACTTCTGTCTCTTTGACCTTCTCCCCATATCTTCTGTGTGCCACTGACTTGCTCCCCCATCCCTGCTCCTGGAGCTACTCCCCTGTGTCCCCAAAGCTACTCACCCTGTGTCCTGACCAGGGGTATTATATAAGGGGGACGACATGGGGTGCAGTGAGGTGGGGAGAGGGTGACATGGGGGGTACAGTGAGGGAATGCCATGGAGGGTGCAGAAGGGAGGGGGACATGAGGGACCCAGTGGGCTGCAGGGGTGCAGTGGTTGTACAGCAGGGAGAAATGCAGTAAGAATGTGCAGTGGGGAGCGGGTGCAGCACCAGTGCAGTGGAGTGACAGGTACAGTGGGGGAAGGAGCTATGGTGGCAGTGTAATGACTTGGGGTAGAGCAGGATGACATGGGGTTACAGCGCAGAGGGTACCATTGGGCAGGTCTGTGCTCACTCCGCAGTAGGTTTTTCTGGGTGCTGCCCTGCCCCATTCTGACACCAATTGACTGTGGCATGTGGGGCCAGGCCTGCTGCTGCCCCAAGTGTGCTGCACCCAGCAGGGGGTGGCAGTGGTGGGGAGCACACCCATAACGGACTGGGGAGGATTGGGGAAACAGGGCATGGCGCTGCCAGACAGGCTGTGAAGCTCAGCGCCCTGAGATGGTGCTGGCTGATACAGAAGATACTGAGTGACTCCATCTTGTATCCCTGGCCTCCTTCTTGAATGAGCAAGAGTCACTCGGCCCATAGGCACCGACTCCAGGAGTGTTTCAGGGCTCAAGCAGAAAAAAATCAAGTGGGTACCCAGCCAGCTACTGCAGTTTGGCAGCAGGGGGAGGGACTTGGAAGAGGATGGAGAGTGGTAGGTGAGTGGGATCTTGGCAGAGGAGCACAGCAGGATCAGGAAGAGGTGGAGCGAGGGCTGTATCTCATGAGTGGGGACAGAGAATGGGACAGGCCTCGGGGCAGGGCACCTGAGGAGAAATAAAAGTCAGCACCCATCTGACTCCACCATTAGATGAAGGCTGTAGGACAGGCAGCACTAAAAATGGGCGGGAAAACCAAATAATCGGGAAACGGGTAGTAAACAGTGATGACTCAGCAGATCTTAACACTGTGATGTAAATAACTGTTGCAAGTTTAAAAATAGAATTGACAGTTAACAACAGTAAACTGTCAGTCAAGCCTGTCTGTAGTATATGAGTGTGCGGCGGCTTCCCAGAGGCCGGGTTGTGCAGTGGTGACAGATTCCAGACCATGGATAGGGAACCTAAGGCCTGGGGGGCCAGATGCGGCTCCCAGCTTGCCTGGATTTGGCCCCCGAGGCTTGAGGCTCCCCCCTAGCATTGGGGAGCCTGCGCTGGTGCTCCAGTTCCCTGCCGTCCCGCCACAGGGCTGGAGCACAGAAAGTCTACTAGCCTGGGCTCCCCAAAGCTCTGGTATGTGAGAGGAATGTGGAGAATGCCTTTCTCCTTCACAGTCGCCTCAGCGAGGGTTTTGTTTTTGTTTCATTTGCTTCTCACTTGTGTGTGGCTCCTGACTGATTTTTCTGTGGGTCAGCGGCCCTCACCCAAAAAAGATTCCCAACCCCTGTTCCAGACAGACAAAACAGATTTGTGTGACTACAACCTTGCTAGACAACCCAACAGCATACTGAGCTTTAGCTGTCATTGTAGCCTATGCTCATATTTATATATAAAATCTCTTGTCGTTTTCAAGGAATTGTTCAAATTGCCTGCTCTCTCTTGAACTCCACTGAATTGCTCTGGGGGAAGGGCATCTCGTCTCTTGTTCACACATGTGTGCATGAGGGAAAACTAGGTTAATGTGACTAGCCAGAATAGCCTCTCTCTCTCTCACCCCCTCACACACATTGACACAGCCAGGGGGGTCAGAGTGTGTAGCAGGAATAAGCCCATTGATGTGTGTCGTAACATGAGAACCTAAAACATAAGCCACAGGCTTGACCAACAATAGTCAAGATTTTGCTAATATAAAGCAAAATTAAGCTGTGAGTAGGCTTGCCAGTTTTGAACTGGACAGTCCAGTATTTGAGATTTCTGTTTGGGAAACAAATTGAGAAAATAGAAATGTCCGGTATTTTCTAAATAAGATGTCATGTAGATTGTGATGTAATGTCAAGTGGTCTGGTATTTTTGTTGAAACCATCTGGCAACCCTAGCTGTGAGCAAGAAGCAGGGCCTGCTCAAAGAACTTGGCACAGACAGGGCTAGTCTGTGTATATCTGTGGCAAAGAGACGTTCCTTCCAAAAGACTCTCTAAGTGTAGGTTTTATTCACCTGGATGGGTGTTAGCACAATCTTGGCTTCAATAAAAAATGACATTATTGGAACATGGCCTTGAGGGAGTTGTGTTAACTAACATAGTGCTTACTACAACGTAGCAATAGTTAGTGCTCAACCTTGACAAGTTATGTTAATTTGGAAACTTGGACCCAATTCCTTGAGTAGCAATAAAAGGATTCTACTTTTCTCCCTGTGACGCTCCGTCCACACTGCCTCTTTTTTGCGGAAGAGGCAATGCAAACGAAGTGCTCATTAGGAACTTCTCGCGCTCCATTTGCATAATCGCTTCCGATGCTTTTTGTGGAAGAGGTTTTTGCTTAAAAAAAAAAAAAAAAAAGAAGTGTAGATGGGTCTGCTTTGCGCAAAAAAAGCCTTTTGTGCAAGAACCCTTATTCCTTAAAAAAGGAGGTTTACAGACTGAGGGCTTCTGAAAAGCTCAAAAGGCATGAAGACGGTATTGGTGCCCCTGGGCTGGGGAGACAGGATGTTACAGGGAATCTCTGGATGTGCTGGGTTAGCTCTATAGAACAATTGCTGGAGTGTCACCAATTTTTTAGTGGATGCCTCTGCAGAAAAAGACTTTTATGAAAACAATGAATGTAAAACTTCCTTTTCATTGAAGATCAGGGGATGCAGACATTTTTAGTATCCACATTCTAAGTGTTACCTTCTTTTCCTCCTTCCTTTTTTCCTTCTTTCCAATCAGCCCTGTCCATGTTCCTTTTTTATGTCCTTGTTTACCTCCCTCACTGTTTTTCCTTTCTTGCCTTGCTTCTCATAGTAGCAGCAGAAAGCAATGAGTGACCCTGCCAGTCTGCCCTCTGGTGGCCCTTATGTTTACATCACATTAAAAAACCTCCAGCACTCAGCCTGGAGTCTGGCTCAGTTGACTCAGAATTGGGCTGAGGGGCTAAAAACAGTGTAGATGTTCCAGCTTCAGCACTGAGACCAATCTGCTTATGGGGTTTCCGAGTTCAGAATCCAGCCTGATCATCTACTCTGCAGTTTTTACCCCAACAAGTTGAACCCCGTGTACCCACATCAGTTATGCTGGAACAACTGCATGAGCGTGCTGGGGGGTCTTTTCGTGCAATGTAGACACACCCTCAGTGACCATCACAGGTTGCAGTTCTAGAAGAAGCCAGACTTAGCAGAAAAGATCAGGAGAAGAATTGTTCTTCTGCTTCATGAACAAGCAGCTTTAGCTGTACTGCTGCATAAACTAGATGAGTCAGCCCCAGCTGGGGGTGTAGGGCTGACCTTATCTAGCTAGATCAACTTAGACTAGCATTTCTCCAGTGTGCCCACAAGGGAGCTTTTCTTGGGGCCACAGCCTCCTGAGAAAATGATCGATGGGTGGGGGGAGAAACAGTGGGCCTTCTCTTGTGGCTGTCTGAAGGGAATGGGGCTTGACAACCTACTGAGCTTCAAACACCAGAGAAGCAGACAGCTAGTGTGAATTCCCGCACTTTCCTGTGGGTTTCAGGCCTTGCCCCCCCCCCCCATAGCCCCTGCTCCCTCTCCTTGCCCCTCACCCATGCACCCCATCACTCTTGTCCCCACTGCCTCCCCAATCCCATCCAAGGCTTAATTTGTCCCCCAGCTGGACAGAGTATAGTAAGCTTGCTGTGAAAAGTGGTATTTGCATTTGTTTTATCTCTTTTTACTGCATCACAGATAGCTAGTAAGTCTGTTGCTTTGGAAAGTGGTATTAGCAAACATACAAATACAATAATAATAGAGATGTAGCCGTGTTAGTCTGGTCTATCTGAAACAAAAAACAGGACTATGTAGCACTTTAAAGACTAACAAGATGGTTTATTAGCTGATGAGCTTTCGTGGGTCAGACCCACTTCCTCAGATCAAATTGTGGAAGTATATTGGCACAACCATATACAGGCAGTCCCCGGGTTACGTACAAGATAGAGACTGTAGGTTTGTTCTTAAGTGGAATCTGTATGTAAGTTGGAACTGGCGTCCAGATTCAGCCGCTGCTGAAACTGACCGCCAGTTCTGACTTACATACAGATTCAACTTAAGAACCCCAAGTCAGCTGCTGCTGAAACTGATCAGTGGCTGATTCCAGGAAGCCTGGGGCAGAGCAACTCTGCC